TCTTATTCTTGCATGTAATTTTTATTTTTATTTGTACTGGTACAAATAGTAGTAGCTTTGTAAATTTTTATATCTAGCAATTATTTTAGTAACTGTATTATAGCAATCTATATTGTAACTATTTCAAAATTACTAATAAAAATACAAGCAAGACCTCACCTTAAAACCCCCCAAAAAAACTATATTATTAATATTCTTGTTGAACAACTAGTACCAGACTTTGACCTCAAATTAGCCTAATATAATACAGGTCATAATTTTCTATCCTGGTAGCAAGTCTTCAAAAAAAACTAGAGCAAAGCTATGTTTACAAATATCGCATCTAATATGGATGAAAGATATCATGTAAATGCAGATAATTGAATATACTCTTGTCGAGTATATATAAATAGCCATTACCTTCTTTGCAAACATCTAGTTACAAAGAAAAAAAAGAGTTTTGACCTATTTTTAGCAAAACAACATGACGATATAACTATCCATTACTTGTTTTTGGCAATAATAAATTTCTGACAATAACTCAAAGAAATAATCTATGGATAATAACAAATATAACTACTATTGACAAGAATTCTGTTATCGATATTAAGAGTTCTACTCCAGAAAATTATTATCCACAAGACTTGCAAGATATATCAAAAATAGTATTTGAAAAAATGATAGAAAAAGGCAATAAAAAGTACACCCAATATACAAAGAGGTTTGAAAAAGCATTAGAATTGTATAAGAGAGAAATGTATAATGATAATTTTATAAAAAATTTTGATATCTTAGTGGGATCATTTGTGAAGGCTGTTGGTGAGTATGAAAAAGCTTTACAGATCTGCAAACAGCAAGATACTCAAAGATCAAACAATAAAAAGCTTGCATTCTGGTTACATTAGTTTTTAGTAATAAAAAAATCACAATATGCCTCTTATATATAGACAGCTATATATTATTCTGCAAAAAATCATTGTGTATAATTAGCAAATTTTTTTAAATAAAGTTTTTTCTTAATAATTATATATATTTGTAATATATTATCTTTAAAGTTTTATCTAATCTCAAGCAGCAATATCTTGACCAAAGTCATTTAATTAAGGGTACTCTCAATCAATAGACCTGAGTTCAATTTTTAATTAGTAGAAAATAAATTATTCAGTAAAGCGAGTTCATTATCATGATGAAAAAAAAGATAGTTAGAGACCATCTTTTTTTTATTATAGAGTTGTGCTGATTGGCTAAAATTTAATATTTATGTTTTGCAATATAAATCTTTGACAAAATTATCTTCAATAAATCATAATATTTATGCACTAAATATTACTAAGTATTACAATAAAAAAAAATTACTGATCTAAATCATGCATCACTATAAATTTTCAAAGGTAAAAAAAAAATAAATAAATAAAACAAGTTACTGTTACTGACCCAAATCAAGCGTCTTTATAAATTTTGAAAAAAAATAAGGTACTTATCTAAATTGTATATTGCTATAAGTAAAAAAAAAAAAAAATTACTAATCTAAATTGTGTGTTGATATAAATTTTCAAAGGTAAAAAAAAATAAATAAATAAAACAAGTTATTGTTACTAACCAAATCGACCCAAATCAAGTATCTTTATAAATTTTAAAAGAAAAAATAAGTTACTGATTTAAATCATGTATCACTATAAATAAAAAAAAATAAGTTACTAGTATGTTGCTATAAAAAAAAAATAAATAATAAGTTACTAGTGTGTTGCTATAAGTAAAAAAAAAATTAATAAATAAATAAATAAGTTACTGTTGCTAACCCAAATCATGCTTCTCTATAAATTTCAAAAAAACTGTTACTAATCTAAATCATGTTATAATTTTCAAAGTACATAAAAATTTAAAATAAAAAAAATTTACGTAATATTTATATATAATTTTTTGTTAGTGCTAATTGGCTAGAAATTACATAGTTGAAGTAAAATCTTCACATAACTATAACTTTTTTTTAGCTTGACTAGGGTACTAGATTACAGAAATCCTGTTTTAACTGATCGACAGAAGATAGTAGCATCATTTAGATAGAATTTTCAAAATTTGTTACCAGTAAGGTTTGAACCCCTACCTATCCAACATACTGCTTAGAATGCGGCAACTTAACCACTTCACTAAGTCACTACACCTTTTAGTAATTATTATTATATATAATTAAACAAAATTACTATATTTTGCCACTGGTGATCATCACCAGTGATTTACAGGTGTAATGTATAAATCAAAGTGATTTTTTAAAATAAAAATTTAATTCTTTTAATATTAGAGTAAGGGCGAAGATATCATGTTGGGGTTAAGCAAAAGTTATAGTAAAATTTTGCAAGGAATTTTTTTTGTTAAGGCCCAAAAGGTGGTTTCATAGATAAAATTTTAAGATATGGTTAATTTTTTAAAATTTCTTTGTTTTTGTTACACAAAATTGATTTACACATTACACCTGATCTTGCAAATTAATTGGTTAATTATTTACTGGTGATGATCACCAGTGGCGATAAATAGCAAACTCCATAATTAAAATTTAATTACTATATATAATTTTATTGTTTTTATATAAATATTTTATTTTTTTTAATTTAACAATTCTGTCTTCTTACTTTATTAAAAGTATTAAAAAATTATTATTAACAAATATACAAAACTTTTTAAATTATTATTCTTATATTAAAAAACTTATTTAACCTTATAATACAAGTATAATACTATCTAGTAACAATTTACTTTATATTAGATTCTTAACTCACTAAGGATTTAATCTCTTTGATCATTAGTTGAAGTAGTTGTATCACTTCATCAAAAAGCCAAATCAAAAAAAAACACAGATGAAAAAAAAAAAAGATAAAGATATAAAAATAATGATAAAATATATAAACAAGAAAAGAAAGAGTAAAAGAATATCAAAAACAAAAGAAAAAAATTGTCTATTCTAATATTATTTATAAATTTGTAAAAGGTTTATAAAAATTATATATTACTATATAGATTAGTCTTTACTTTAAATCTATCTAAATAGTATATAAAAGTTAAAAATTAATAAAAAAAATTTTGTTAACCAGAATTATATAAAGAAGTTAGTACTTAATCCAAGTTTTTAAGTATTGTTTGATTAAATTATTATATTCAAAGTATCATATTCTTTTGAAAATAAGCTATCTCCAAAATAAGCTACTCTTTTTTTACATTTAAAATTTATAAAATTTTATGTTCTAAAAATAAACTACCTCTTTTTTTAACCAAATAACTATAGTAAAAATTTTAAATTCTGAAAATAAGCTACATATCTGATCGATATAAATAATCTATTTAACCAGATATTATTTATTTATTTCTCATTTATAATTTTTTTATTTATATGTATTTATTACATACTATCACCATCACTATTTATATATTGATATATATATTTATTAATTAAAAAAAAATTTAAATTTACAACTAGTGCTCTGAAAAGATCATTCAGATTAGGTCTAAAGTTAAACCAAAACCAAACTTGCATTACTGTTATATTTTTTTAATATATATTTATTTATTAATTTATAAGTATGGATTTCAATTAAAAATCAATTTGAACATTGCAATTTTTTATAGTATTGCTTAGATCATATTTGTGTATACATATTTTGCTTATAAATTTACTCTAACAAACTTTATAATGAACTCTAGAACTTTTAATTTGTTATAGAGTTTATATAGACTTTTCTATCTAATTCATATTTTATAATTCATCTAAAATTATAAAAATTTACCAATTATAAATAAGGTCATACAATTTAATGTTTTAGTTTTTATAATATGAAACTTTTAAATAGACCTAACTATCCAGGAGTTTTTTTAAATTTTATATAAAATTTTTTAAATTTTTTTAAAAACCTACCCAGTTATTAAAATATATAAAAAATTTTTTTACAAGATTTCAAATTTTGACCTGGCTAGATTATAAAAACCAATAAATTAATTTTGTATAGTCTAAGTTTAAACTAGTAAATTAAATTTCAAATTCATAAGTAGAATAAAGAAAACTCGTAAATTAATTAATATTTCACCTTATCAAGCTCAATCCTGAATAATTGAAATTTTGTAAGAAAAAAGTATTCAAAAAAGTATATTCTTTTAGAATGATTATATAAAAAATTTTTTGATTTTATAAAGATAGCATTAATAATTAGAATAGAAATTCAAGAGAGTTTGAAACCTACTATTACTAAAAACTATAATACTACAGTATATAATCTTTTTGAAATAGAAGTTTGAAACCAAACTGTTAATAAAGGCATAGCTATACAAATTTTTGAAGTATTGAGATAAAGTCTATAAAAACAACCGTAAGCTATAGAAATTCATGAAACAATTTTAAATTAAAAAATATAGCACTACACAGTACCTTAGAATATTGCATGAGAAAGATAACACTATACAAAATATATAAAGAGATTATAATTATAAGTTAATTATATAGCAATATCATTGATTCTAAATACTTAATTGGTATCAGATATTTTTCAAAAACGTTAAAATTTACAATTTAATAGTATCCTGATACTATTAAAGAGGATAATTTTTACGTGATACTGTATACAATATTGTATAGTACTGAAAATTTAGTTACTTAAAGAAATTAAGATCACAAATAATATCTTTAATAATATTAAAGTTTATATAATTCATAATTATTATGCTATATGTGTAATTTAAATTAATTATATAAATCAAATTTCTTATATAAAGTTTAATACCAATAACTGATATTGCTTAACAGAATTATTAAAGCTTAAAAATCTTTAATAGCTATTAAAAACTATTAAATTTCATGTTTATTATAACCATATTGATGGATTATAGCCGTCTAATTAATATATTGAAACCTAAAGTTATCCCAAGTCTATAAATTTTATATCTCTCATAGAGAATAAAAAAAATATCTCTATTAAATAGATATCAAAAAATATTTGACCTTCTCTAACCAATAAGCAATAGTAACCTATAATTAGATTCTAATCTTCTGGTTTCTTTTATAGCTTCTCTAGAACTTATTGTAAATCTTGTCTATCTACTATATTTTCTATACTACTAATTCCTAGTAAATTGTGCTTTACCTTGCTCTAATTATTTTGTGTTGTGTTTCATTATTAATTTTTCTTAAAGCTTTCTTTATTTTAATATTTTCTATATTATTCTCTATAATTTTCTTTATTTCTGTCTTTGGTAGCTATTTTTAATTTTCTTTCTTTTTTTATACCAGTTTCTTTTGTATTTTTTTTACCTTGAACTTGAATTTTTTGGCCAAATCTAATAGTGATTTCTTGTTTTTTTTAGTTTGTTTGTTTCTTCTCTACTTGTTTAAGTTTTCTATATACTATTTTTCTAATTTTTTCTTATACTGTTTCTTGATTAGCAATAAATAGTTTATTATACCATCTATTCTATATATTTTTTGGTTTGTAATATCTGGCAGAATAGTCTTCATTTTGCTTAGCACAATAAGGTTGCAATATCTATAATCCAATTCTTCTTCTGTATTTTCACTATATTGTTTTTTATATTTTTGTTTATATTCTTCTAGATCTTTTTTGTTTATTTTCTTTAATGAGTTTTCTAATACACATCTTGAAGCTGCTACAACATGTAGTTTTTATCTATTTTTAAAATTTTTTTCTTCAGTTTGCTTCATATGATTTGACTTTTTTGTTATTATTTTTTTTGTTGTATTCATCATATGCTATTTTATGTATTTGTATTGTTTTCTTTTTGTTACGTATTGTATAGTTGTATTATGTCAACAGATCTGCACTTCAGGATCAAGTGCTTTTCCCAAAAAATTGCTTACAGACAACAAAAAACTGCTGTATTTCAAGTTTTCTTCTATATCTTAATAGTT